CTAGGACGGGTTCAAGACCCTCGCTGCCGGTGTCCTTCCGCGTCCATTTCACGGGCAACTGGCCGCCGTGATTGTCAGCCGGCACCTGCCCCCGAGTCACGGCGTTTGCCCACTGTTATTCCTACAATCGACCGTCCCGTGCGGCGAGACGCTTCGGGATAATTGTTTTTATTGTCAGCTGCTGGTTCCGCGTTGGCGATTCCCGTGGCTCCTGACAAGACACGCAGATCGCGTTCAACTTATTTGAATTCAATCACATCGCTAACTTCGTAATGCAACTCACTGACAGAAACGTATAGAATCACTCTATTAAAAATGAGCGTGTGTATTACTTAGGTCTAATTAGTTAAATTTAACTTTTTGATCCGGTTTACAGTGTATAAAACGATTTATAGACGGAGAATCCTTGATATTTCTTGGCTATCACAAAGTTTTAAGCCGTCCACCAAATCTGACCTAAGTAAACATGCTGAAACCTATTTATCTTTATATAGTAACGCAGCCCAACCAAAGTGTACAGAAGCAAAAATATTTGCAATACAGTTACTCACGGATACCGTAAGCCGCGGCAAGGGCCGTTTATCAAACTTACCTGAAAAGAGAAAAAAAAACAACATTAACAAAGGGCAGAAAGGCGAGCTCACATGCCACCAGATGGCAGCTCCAATAAAGCTCGAATGATAGACGAAAGGTGCAAGTATTAGTCGCAAGGTAATGCCCAACTGTTGTCAAATTCTCAACCGTGCTCTGCGACTTCGACCTTTATACCGTTACGATTAGAGCGTCCCATCAGCGTAAGGTGGTGCCTGATACGTGGTACAAGGTGGTTGTGGTAACAGTTTCCTAGGGTACAGTTAACGCATCCGTAAGGGTTCAGGTTCGATTTGTGAACGCTGCACGTGCCGCGTACTGTGAAAGTTTTTGTTGCAATGGATCGGACAGTTGCCGCTTAGTACTGTTATTAAGGGTGTAAAGATTTGGTATTCGATTAAAATATGACGTAACTTTGATCTCTGTTCTGAAACAACCTTTGTTCGAAGCTTGGACAACTTGAAATTGGGACGACGGAGAAAACTTATTCGTCAATAATGTTTTAACAATGTATAAAATCGTGATATGAAACCGAGTGGTGCCCATTTTGATTCATTTAAGGTACCTATTTATTTTTTAAGTATCTAATTTATTTTGTTTTTATGTTCCTGATTAACGTTTCCTTCTAACAGTGTGTATATATGTATAAAGCAGACTTTCCAGCTGTACATCGACTTAGACTCATTCTGTTCCTTTAAGTTCATCAAGTTGATAATTCTATTTGAAGCGTTCTAACAAGTTATCAAAATAAATTAAGTACTTTGCTGAACGTTATTTTGTTCCAGATATTGTGACTTGCTTCACGGACTGAAAAGAAAATGTGACTGTCGACCTCTTATCTAGAGGTTATTTGGAACATTGTCAGCGATAACATCAATTACGTTACAACAATTCTCGCATTTGGTAAATGAATTGTATTCTTCTAATATTATAACTAGTTTGGCATTGAATGCTTCAATATCAGAATTTCAAAAATTCGAATGGCGTTGGAAATCTTGATTAGAGATTATATGTGGAAAGTTGAAACACGAGAAAAAGGGTTCACCTGATGTGATTACCACAGCCTACGGACATCTGCAACACCAGTACGGACTCCGTGGCACAGTTGCCAAGGTATTGGCTTCGACGTCGGGGGTCGTGGGTTCGATTCCCACACGGGACAACTATTTGTGTGACCCACAGTAAGTGGCTCTACTACAGGCAGATTTCACTTAGTATAATGTTTTCGCTGACAAACAATAAAGTAACAAATCGGTCGGATTAATTAATTATTAAGTCATCTTTTTCACTTTATTGCTTTACAAAAATTACGTGAGTATGTATTGCGTCAAGAACGAGTAAAGTGACGAGCTTTTGACAGGTAGAGGAATAGTCTTATCAGAAAGAGGGTGGATATTTACGTTCCACAGCCCCGTGACCAAGACTCCTTAAACAGTTTTAAAACAAAGTAAAACAGTTAATTTAACCAACAGGTAATTCAACAAATTATTATTGTATTCATCGCTGTAGCTTTTTGGCTTACACTTTCGTGATGTACGTCGAAATATGAAGGGGTTTTCAACTTGCCTTCACCCCGTGGAGGGAGGCACAGAGTGTATAAGGCGGGCTGCCTGCTTATGGACATGGCGTGTCGAATAGCTTTACCCACTACGACCCAATCTTAGATCTAGCGACGTATGGTGTAGCACGAAAGTATTGGCAAGTGAAAATTAGGAAACACCAAATTATATGAACAATTTCAAAGTGAAATATCATTTAAAACGCTATTAAAGGATAGATTATGTTTGTTGATAAACTGACACTAGTTGCCAAATACTGCAATTTATTTTTATTCTCGAGTACTGTAAGAGTAGAGTACTATTTTGAAAAATTATCAACCGGTATTATACTAATATAAAAATATAATTCATAGTATATACTTATACTTAGTACTAGCTAAGTATGACGTTTTGTTTCAATTCTATTATACTCGTAGATTTAAATTTGGGGCAGAGTATTCCTTCTTTAAGTATTAACGTTGTTTGATTTGATTTCATAAAAACGTACACCTACGCTAAAAATAAATAAAAATTACATAGTTATACAGGTGTAAGACATGGTTTCCAAATGCACTTGAATTATATTGATCCATGTTATGAATTCGATTAAGACCGTAAAATGTTATGTTTCCACTCTGAGTCGCATTTTTATTATAACAGTTGACCTAAATATTTAAGTCGCTAAGTTTGCATCTCCCTTTGATCTATATATGAAAGAAACGAAAAAGTAAAAATGGTGCAGATTATAAACCATTTGGCGGGGCCCTTTTAGAACGTATTATGCGGCACGCGAGCTAAAAGCCACGGGGCAAAATTATTTGATCATAATCTTTAATGCAATAGTGGTGTTTGATGTTGGCCTATAAATATATATTTGAAGTGATTGAAAACTATTAAGTTTGTTACGTGCTAATTTTAGCAAAATTGTACTAAAATAAGTTCTTTTATAGGACTAGGGTAAAGTCAGACAAAGCCAGAGAAGCCGTGAGCGCTTTTTTGTTCTAAATCTTCTTCATTTAAATTGTCTATGATAATTATATGATAAAAAGGTTGAATGATATTAAAATAGTGAAGCTAGTCAAATGAGGTTATAGAAGACCAGTGTATTCATTGTCGTGTAGCCACGAGATATTTAGATACGTGCAAAACGTTACGAATACGTAATATTACACATTAAACGGTATAAATACATATATGGATAGATAAAAGAAAATATTTCTGAATACAAAACTCTTTATAGTCGCTTTAATCACAACCTAAACGTCCAATGTTATTTTACAATAACATTGCCCACTGCCCTTTGTGTATCGACAGTTTGCGCTGACGGGAAGTATAATTGGCACGAGACCACTTAAGAACTCCTATGAATCGTCAATACAAACTCACGAAACCGGAAAAACATTATGGCAATATAATTCTGTTTATATTTGTACCATACGGAAGCCGAAAGCTGCGATGCTTTTTCTGCAAGCAACACCCCAAGCCACGTGTCTCGAGATTGTGAATCTAAAATAAATGCGGCCCCAGAGGCGACCCTTGCGGCACACCTGCTTTTGGAGATGTGAATACGTGCCCCAAAAGCATTGAATTTAAATCCTTAAGGCGTTCTAATAAGAATAAGTGGAATTGCATTAAGTATTTTTGTATGCGCACAGCACATATTTGGCAGGAAGAGGGTGTCTATTGAATTATATTTAGTCGTAAGCTCCCTTTGGATATGATTAAACAAACGATACGCGACAAGGTGCTCGAAGCATGCTCCTCTAGTTTTACATGCGATGATCGCTAATGGTCTTTCAGCCGCTTATTGATAGCCTTTCAATAAAAAGATAACACTTATTTACTTACCTATTCAAATTTGTAACGTGCTATTAATTAAATTGAGCCGTGATAGCTCAGTGCCCGGGCGCTCGCCTTTAGTTCAATATGCTCGAGCAACCTGAGTTCGATCCCCGGTGTCGGCGCCACCGAAGTTTTTAACTTTAAGTGCTGACTTATCACGTGCTCCGCGTGAAGGAAAACATCGTGAGGAAACCTGTATATTTTCGAAATAATAAAAAAAATATATATATTTCGAAGATATGTGAAGTCCGCCAATACGCAGTGGGGCCGCGTGATGGACTATGCCCTGATAACCTCTCTATAGAGGAGGCCTTTGCCCAGCAGTGGGACATGTATAGGCTGTTACTTTACTTTTTTACTTTACTATTAATCTTATCCTTTAAACGACCAATTATTGTATATATATATGTATGTATGTATATATATATATATATATATGTATGTATATATATATATATATATATATATAATCGGAATCTCGGAAACGGCTCCAGCGATTTTCATGAAATTTAGTATGTGCATAGATTCGGGGGCGAAAAATCGATCTAGCTAGGTTTCATTTTTAGAAAATGTCCTTTTATCCCTGTTTTCAGGGAATGAAAAATATAATTCGAATATGACGGTAAATTTCGCCGCAAGAGAAAATGTCATAATAGCTCGGTCGGTAATCGGGCGGCCCCAAAACAGACAGCCGTGGTTCGCGTCACGATCATTTACACATTTATTTTTTAACTTTTTTTTCGATTCCAGATCATTTCTTTCTTTATTTTTAATTTTTTGTCGATTTGTTATTTTGTAATTTTTTTCCCTTTTTTTTAAGTTCTTTCTTTTGTGAAAAACATCAGTTCGTATTTTCTTATTATTACGTCGGTAAGATCGAAAAATATTATGCATATTTCATTACTCAGTTATTAGGTCCTCCGGGTACTAAAATTTATTGAGCATGATTATTAAATTATAAAATAGTAGATACAATTATGTACTCCTCGGCTTATAGTATACCTTGAATATAGCCAAATCGATGTTGTCATGAGAGCATCCCATGAAAAAGTGGCGTCAGATTTCTACCTGATGCAAAGTAATTAATATCTGAGTTAATTACTTTGAATTAGACCTAGTGCTACTAAAAACAATTGATAACGATTAAAAGGCGAGGAGGTTGACGTAAATTGAAGTATTAAAAATAAGGAAGGATTTGCTAATCTGCCGCTATGGAGGGTGTGTAGACAAAAAAAAAACCTTTTTCAACATAGCGGCGCGCGCGCACGCCAGATGCGTGTGAGGGCATTGACTTCTTAATTATTTTTTTTCCTCTCGTCAGAAATCGCGATCCCTAAAAGCGGGCTGGAAAATTATAAGTGAAGCCGTGTTTAATTTGGCTTAAGTAGCGTGTTGTGGTCGCGGCGAATGTTCAAGTGAAGCTATTCGACTCACCCCGTTCGGTTGGAATTAAAGGATTTTTACAATGTAATGGTTGCGTTTTTTCCTTTTTTTAATAAGAGATGGCGTGAGATTTATGTTTAGTGTCAGATCTTATGGTTTTATTTAAAGCGAAGTTCAATGAACCATATCGTTATTAAATAAGTACAGTTACAGTCAGATCCAAAATAATTTGTCCTTGCAATGTGCAAAGAAAAATTATTTCGAATTCATCGGAATTCGAAATATTTTTTCTTAGTTAACTTCTACGATGATAAGCGTTTAAAAAACCGGGCGTATATCTCGATAGATATACGCCCGGTTAAATTCAAGGAGTTTAACCGTCATTTTGGCAACTTAAATAACATTTCAAAAGCCATTTAGCTGCTTAGTTAACTTCTAAGACGATCAGTGTTTCAGAAACCGGGCGTTAGTAGAATATTCTTTTTCGAATTTCAATTCAACCATTTTCCGGATATTGATACAAAAATTAAGATGTGATTGTTTTTGCATATTCGCAATTACTACCTACGTGTTTTTACGTTGTGACGAAAGCCAGCCATTGCGGCATTTCAATGCAGAAAGGAAGAAAAAGTCCGCCCTTCGAAACTGGAGTGCGGCGCGTGCTCTCTGATACGGGGGTAATTGCACGTCGAGGAACCATCACCTGCGCGAACGCGAACGAGACTCGAGCCCTCCGAATCATATGATTTTATCCGCTCCAAAGTTGCAGAAAGTATGGCTATTAAAACTAGCAGCCTGTAATTTTATTGTTACATAGTTGGGAGCCCTTCTTTTTATAGAGGGTGTTCGGCTAGTCCGTCATGCCCTCGATGAAGGTTGCATGACGTCTTCAAAATGTTTTCTAACACGGCTTAGATGTATACAATAAAAAAAAAAAATGTATAATCTAACAAAGTAAGCCTTTTATGAACTAACACTACCCATCTTCGGCTAGAATAAATTAGAATGAACACGCACTGGCGAGTGGAACTACAAATAAAAAGTGGTTTAATTTTTTATTTAAAACTTAATACTTTTCTTCTAAGCACTCCTTGATACTTTTGTATTAAACTTTACGGAAAATCAATTACTGTGGTATTTAATAAAAATGGCGCACCAAATACGTTCCGTGCTTGATATCAATCAAATATTCCCGGAGCTTACATATACTTATGCAAGCCCCGAGGTAGGGTTACCTTAAAATATTATTGTTGGATAATGATTATGTACTTAATGATATAACGATTATTGCACGATCAACTCATATTCGCTTGTATAAAGATAAAGCAGACATCTGTTACAGTAGTGTGAACATGTGACAATGACTTTTGAAGAAAAGTCGACTAGCTTACACTTCGATTAAGTGCTCCATTCACTGTACAGTAACTTTAAAAATGAATGAAGACTAGAGAAGAAGCCAGTCCGCAGATCTATAAAGATTTTCTAAGCAAAATTTTGAGCATCTTACATCACCGCTTTAAGCTGTGCTTTGTGCGTCGGCCATAACGTGTTAGGGTTTATTAGGTAGATTATCTTTAGGGTGGTTTATTTGCGTATTTATCGACGGACAAATAAATCTCCCTCCCTAAGCTGTTCTTGTTATTAAGCAGCACTTATGCGATGGGGGATTTACGCACGCAAGCAACAGGGAAGGGATCGTAAATTACGAGGAATTCTATAATCGCGTGCCTATTTCATCGCATTACGATATCCGGATTGGAAATTTTTAAGACAGAAATCGGTTTTATAATGCGATTCATGTTAATGAGTATTATTTTTGGCATCAAAACAACAACAAACGCAAGCTCAAAATTTTGCTACAACCGTCTTCAGTGCTTTGAAGTAAATATGTTATAAGTATTATTGAATTTATTGTTGGGGCTGTTAAAGGAGGGAGGCCGGCAGTTGCAACTCGGCCGGCACTGTCAAGTGCTGGGAATGCCCGTGGAAAGCATGATGATAATTGTGTCAAGGGGTCTCGTTTGTCAACTCAAACCAATACGCTAATAGACCCAGTGAAGTTGTTTACAAATGGTTATTAATTAGTTTGAACATAACATTCAGTCAATACATCAATCAATCAGCCTTTCGCTGTCTACTGCCGAACACAACTCTAAAGGGTCTGAAGGATCTGAGGGTGTACCTTTGCAGTCTACTGCTGAACATAGGTCTAAAAGGTCTGAAGGATCCAAGGGTGCGCCACAGTGCACGATATTCTGCTTCCCTCATCCAGCCTCTACCAGCGACCTTCCTCAGGTCATCGGTCCGAAACATAATATTATCGATGAATAATTACCAATTAATGCGCGCGGTCAATGTTGCGCCTAGCGATATGATTCGGGGAGGCCCCACAAGGGCTCGGTGGATTTTTTCGGCGTCTCGCCAGCGCCACCTGGCGTCGGCGCGAGGCGTCACCGCACTGAACAGTTAACGGCAGCTGCTCAGACAGCTGGCCGTTGATGCCGCGCAGGTAACCGCTCTGACAAGTTGCGACCTCTCACACCTCCCGCGTGCCTTACCGTTGGCGAGGCGACTTGGGTCGAACGCTGTACGCAGACTTGGAGACTTATTTGAAATGGATTACCGAATGTTGCGAAACTTATAGCTTTGCATCGTTTGGAGACTTATGATGAAATCTCTTAAGTAATGATGCCCTCATTGAATGTATTATGAAATCGAATAAAAAAATATGATAGCGTCTTAGACAACGTTTACGTATTTTCACATTTACTTCCTATGTTTAAATTCATGTTCCTAAAGTTTCGAATATTTTGCAGTATCAAAATAATATGAGTTACAACTGGAGGCTCTCCATCACCCACCTTATCTTACCCACCGTATCTGTTGCGTAATATGGAAAAGTTTTATAGGGTGAAATTTCATATTTGAATGAAAAGCTAAGCAGCGCCTTTGAAAAGTTCACCAGAATTTTTCAGAAAGCAGCGGCAACAAACAACTTGTTTTAAATGGTAGAAGTGCATGAAATAAAGGCCAATACTTTGATTAACTAAATATTGTTTTTATAAATAAATAATCACACAGATAAATTATTCCTATATAAGATGACAATTTCGTAGGTGGTACCCAATATTTACTACCGCCTGTTTGGTCTGTTTATCTAACGGAAATTAATGCGGATGTCTCTGACCAATTTAGAGCAATACGTTTTTATGTATTGTACTTTAATACTGCACATGTTGTTGGCTCTTATTCTTTTTCTTTTTTATAGCTTCGCGTTGTACATGCATTTTTACATTTTTATTAAACACGATGTATACCCTCAACCGAAAATATTAACTGTAGGATATACAAATTCGCGTTCCGGGTGAGCCCTAGCAAAGCACTTCCTAATTCACTTTTAACTCGATGATTACTCACAATAGGTATGTTTTTCTTATGAATTTAATTTTTATTGCTATTTTCTTTTCATTTCTTTTCACGTACATCCCACCGATCAACAATTTCTGAGGTTGCCTGGAAGCAATTGCTGTGTAGCAATAAGATCGCCTTTTGATGGGCAATATTTGATAAATATTTTTGTACTACTTGTTTTTTTTCTTTTTTTGTATACCTCAGTGCTACTGGACCCTAAGACCAAAAAGCTCAATCCGCCCATCGGCACCATAACCTAGAGCAACAAGAGACCGGCCCGAGCGAAATGGGGCTTGAAATTCTTCGGGCAGCCGCGGCGCGTGCGCAGAATTAAGCACGTCCCATCTGCCGCGTAACCTGACACTGCTTACCATATGAGTAATGCCACTTCCGAAAAAAACGCGAGAGCCAAACCCCCAAAGAAATACCAACCTTGCGGCCGACACCCAAGAGGCGAAATTCCGGGGAATACTCTCAAGAATCAATCGAAACCGGTACATCAAACGTCAGCTTTATAATTACTGCGATAGAGGATATATTGCTTCGATCGTATAGTTCGCGTATCGCGCAGTCGTTCGGAAAAAAGACATATGCGTATTTCTCCGAGCACACACCAGATGGCGCGCTAGGCGATTTCGAGACGCATAAGTTCGGGTTTTTTGCACTAGACAGCGGCCCGATTCCGCCATTGTTGGGCCATTAATGCGTTTATTTATGGAGGCATGTTGGCCGCAATTGCTTTATGCTCCCCCGGTGCGGTGGCTGGAGTGGCTATTCAACTTAGATCTGCGGGTTAGGTTTGTTTTCCTTCTTCGGAACGTTTTGGTTCAAGTTCTCAAGGGCTCTAATCACGCATCAACAATTGACAGTTAAACGCCAATTTGATTTTGATATTTGTTTGGGAAAACCTTTGGGTTCAACTACATTATCGACAGCCAGATTAGCAGACAATATAAGTTATTCGATTTAGACGTTTATAAGACGCGTAACTTCTGTTAATGAACACATTGTAGATGAGACAGTTATTTTCATTTATACATTTTGAAAGATGTAATGACATATCTATGATACAGGTTCAGGATATTCAAGAGATAGCAGCTAGTCTTTGACATCTTGCATAGGAGTTTGTTTTGTGGGGTTATGTGGGTTTATAAAAACTTATCCAAATAAAACCATCATAGATTAGATAGTCCTAAAAAATAATATACAGTCGAAAAAGCCACATCAGCCTGTGTTACTGTTGTCGGCTTTTAAACACAACCATAACGATAATGCGCAGTAACGGGAAACCGAGATGGCATCGTCATTTCAATCCCCGTGTGGGCCCGGCTTGATCATCGAAGATGTCACGGCGGCGGAAACGCCGGTGACACATAGAAAGCTGAGATATCGCTTACGGAATACAAATCGCCCGCGATCGCTCGGACAGTTACGCACGTCCTACACACGCAGCGCCGGCCATAGTTCACGTAAAACCGACGAACGTCCTATCCGCCTCGATCCCTGATATTAATACGTGAAAATCTGTCGAGTGAGCAGGTGGTTCACTTGATATTAAGTGATTACCGCCGCCCATAGACATCTGCAAGGCCTAAGGGGTACCAGATGCGTTGACAACATAAAACCTTAAAGTTGAAACCTTTATTACTATATTATTTGGAAATGTTTCAAAACTTAAACCTTCTACAATATGCTAATAAAAAAATCTCGTGATTAAGTTTCCGTTGAGTCCGATTATAATAAACGGAAGCATAATCATTGGATTATTTAATCTTGATCAAAAACATAGCTTTATTCCCTTAGCAACTGCTAAGGGATTAAAGCTATGTCCGAACGGCAAAATAACATGCACCATGTTTGGTTACTTTATAAACACAACGGTTAATTTTCAAACTACCAGTTACGCTGAGCATAATTAAATGAATAATATTATTGTAAATGTAATGAGCCGTCACACTGTATTTTTATGAACAAACTCTCTTTATTCCACGGTATGTGATGATGAGACCGTAGATGGTGAACAGATTAGCTGAGCAAAATCCTTTACATTTTTGCCTGACATACACATGACAATAGAACGGAAAGACGGACTCAAATAGCACAATTGAATTTGTGGGATAAAACTTTCATCAGATTATGAAGAGAGCCAGCAATTGTGCTGTGCTAACAGAATGATACAGTATTCAATGTTCGTCGTCATCTAGTAAGAAGCGGAAGTGGTCACCGGCGGAACCAACACGAAGAATATCGTATGTTATGCGTCAGTAATCCAAGATGATAGCTTGAATAACGTATTACAACATAACAACTCGGCTGGCGATTCACACAACTATACATAACTGATTCTTATTAAGGTAGTGTAGTTAATTTCTTATTGGAATCTACTACACACATAAATTAAAACAAACGGACGGACACATAACAATAAAACGAGGATCACAAAGGATGATCTCGAAATGAAAACTCTAACTGCTTATCCCTTACGCGTGATATTTATTTAATCGTTACTTTTGACAACGAAAGCGTGTTGAATGTCGAGTTTGTGAGACGTAAAGTTGCTTTTTTATGGAATCTGTCGTATAAGGTTGCGCACCCAAACGTCATCTCCGCACGTGTGGTCGGGTAGCGTAATCGTCGCGATTATATAGCGATCTGTTCATTGCACAGCTTTGATGCGACCTCCTTCGAAGTGTTGATCCCTTAAGGCTCTGTGATCGAGTGTTAAACGGCATTTGTCTAGTTATCTCTGTCCATCCCGTAAGAGACATAAGATTTGAGGGTATATGCTTGCCTAATTGCGAATTTAAACTAGCTCTAATATTATGTATTTCTAATTATCTTTATTAGTTCTGATACTTTGAATGAAACCGCATCGTCAAAGTAGTCCCACTATTGGTTAAATTTAATAAGTGATTATGTTAGTACTTATTTTTTGTCAGAAATTATGTAAAAAGCTAAGACACACTTTCGTCACGAGCCATTTCCAACGGATCCGCGTCATAGGACACGTGTAAGTTTAACGAACAGCAATTAAACGATGGATTAGTACGCCCACGGTTATTTTTAGCAGTTCGCAATTTCCTAAAAAACCAAACATGACCTTATTTTGTATGTCTGCTTATAAATAACTGCACCTACGTGGCCCAAGTTATGAGCGCGAGCGTTTGTTTGCATATTAAGAAAGAAGTTTTCTTGACTTTGTCTTTGACTTTATAACAATGGACACCCAATGCACGGTTGGTTGGTAGACTTTACCCAATTTAAGCCTGTTCCAAGCTCAAATGCAGATCACAAACTATTACCCTGTCCACTAAATTAGGCATCGCAACATAAAAACGGGAAGGGGATCCTGCGGTCTTACATGCAGCGCTACCGTATGGTACAAGTCGCTCGATATAGCAGTTACGTGTCCGCATGTCTTATGACTTAGGCCACACGCCAGTTCGATGCCGGACGGCGCGTAGGTGCCGCGAGCTGCTCTCGCCCGCCTTCCGCGGCGCGGTGCTCTCGCGAAAAGAAAGCGACCCGACACTGCACCCAAATGCCGGGGGTCACGTTGTGTAACGGTGGGCCTTTCCACTAGTCCGTCTCTGTGCTTGTCTAGCCGGCTGCTAGCACGCTGCGAGCTCGAAGCTAACGTCTGCGTGTCTGACTTACGAGCATCTTTATAGTTACACCTGCTGTGCCCGCGACTTCGCGTGGAATTTAAAATAAACGAAAGTATCTAAAATAAAAAAAGTGCGAAAAGATTGTCGCCGCTGTGGGAATCGAACCCACGTCTTCGGCATTCGCGGCCTGACGCTCTAGCCACTGAGCTAAACGGCTGATTACCACACCTAGTCTAAGTTACTCCTTATTACATCTGCTATCTGCCAGTGAAAGTTCTCTATCGCCTCGGCGTTCAGAAATTAGACGGAACAAACAGTCAGATAAAAATAGTAAAATATGTCATTATTGTATATGTACCGTGTATGTGTACATTCGTATGCATTTAGTAAAAATCGGTTATTTTAATATTACAAAAAGACTCTCCAATTTTATTTATCTGTATAATTATGGACAAATTATCGATCTTTGCGCATTATGGCGGTGGTAGCAGAATTATATCTATTCGGCGACCACCAAAGTGTCGCTCCCGATTGACAATTTAAATCGGAAACATTCGGGCTACGACGAACTGAATCATTCACTCGTGCGATCCGATTCAGTTATGCGGCCCATATGCAAATAGTCCCGGCGAGGCGCCACGATGGGGCGGGGGTCGAGGAGCGGGGGGGGGGGGGGGGGGGGGGTGCGTCGAGACGTCGTCTGCGCATCCCGTCCGCTCGCCCGCTTTGATCCGAATAATAGTCTAGTGGGGAGACCGTTCAGAGTGCGCCTGCGTGACTATCACTACATAGTATAAAAAAAAGTCGTCCCGCTGTCTGTCCGTCCCTATGTATGCGTAGATCTTACTAGAACTATGTAACGGAACTTCGTAACATATGATAGAGTGAATCAAGAGGAAGGTTTATAATACATTGCACCTGCGCGAAGCTGGAGCGGGTCGCTAGTACTACTCTAATTTCAAAGACTCACTGCCAGTGACGTGTTTCACTATGCCTCCCCGTAAGACCCGTAAGAGAGATAGAGAGTGCAACAGGCGGCGTCCTGCTTCCACTTATTATAGCCCCGCGTGCAGCCAGTATTTCATATTAGTATTCGTATTATATTAGTGTCGTTTACGTAATCTTTCAGTTTCAGTCTCTGGCTATAAGATAATGTTATATGTCTGCGTATGCCGTGGGGATGGGAGAATAATGTATGCAAAGTTATGCTTTGACAAAAAATCGACCATTGAAGCCTCTGTCGCGGATTGCTCTGCACAACGCTTAGTCGGTTGGGGGCCGGCGCACGCGGTACATTTGCAAACATGCCGCCGTTAAAAAGCCGACGACTTCGGTTAACTTTTAACCGTTCGATTCGAGCCACGCGGCGGCATTTCCTTTGGATTTACTCTACTCGGGATCATTTGACACTTTAACACGCTGGTACTTCAAAGCAGTAAAGAAATAATATTATTATGAAAAGAACAATATACATTGATGCGGATCAATCAAGATCAAGCATTGAAATGGTGCAATGTTTCGATGGTAGGCTAAAAGATTCACAAATGTCGAATTACATTTTGACTTAACACACTCTGACTATATTGACTAATTTAGACAGGCTGCTTATTATTGAGCTACTTTAACCTCGAGAGAAGAATAGGAATGCAGTAAAAGACAATTTGGAGTTTCCAATGCAAATTTTTACAAAAATCCTATTCATTCGTATCATAGACACATCTACATCCTATGTTGCAATGATACTTTAGAAAGAGTTTTGAAAACATGTGAATTATTGAATTCTAGTTGTTACATAACTTACTGTAAAATTAAATCATATTTTGTAAGCTATTATCATACTGGAACAACGATCACTAGTGTTTTTAACGTTTGTCTTACTTTGGTAAACACACGAATGATTCATGATAAAAACACATGTATATACCACATCTCTCATTAAGACTTGGTCAAAGCGAAGGGTACACAGTGCAGAGACAAAACGCATTAAGCCACGAGCGTTCTCTTTCCCAGCCGAACTTTCAGATCTTGATTCGCGATGTCTTTCCTGTCGCCGCGACAGTCGGTGGCAAAACGATAAATTAATATCACTATAATCGTGCGAACTGATCGCTATCGGCTCAATACTGATGAAGGCGCGCCGGGGAAGTTCGCTAAATGATTTTTTTTTGCGAACAGCTCCGTCGGCATTGTTTGGATGGTTCAGGTTCGTTATCAACGTACGGCAGTTACGATCAGGTCGTAGGGCAAAGTGGATTCATGCTAAGAAAGGAATTTGATCTTATCGCAAACAAAAAATATTAATATAGCTAAAAGCATATGGCCAAGATTGATGTCGTCAATTGTCTTCCACTTATCGTTAGGTGGAAAAAACTTCTTGCCAGTTTGTAATAAATAGGTTATCACAATCTTCTACTAAATATTTATAACTTTTATTACGACGTGGTTTTTAGATTTTACATTTGGTGTCATTTTGTCCAGCGTGTTGTATATGTAGCGCTGCGATAGCGATCCGTATATTTGTAACTTCTAGCAGATTATGGAAAATCTAAGAAAGCACGTGAGATGTTCTATTACGTCATAATAAATAATCTAGACGCAATGGGACTGTTCTATGAAGTGAAGAATTCATGTTAGTCCGATTAGATGCGATTCGCTGATATGAGAGGGCCAAAAATTTCAGTTAGTCCAGAATCGTTGAGACGAGAGCCTTGTGATTTAGCTAAGTAATGTCGACATATAACTGTATCTAAGAACAGCAATTGGCCAGCCAGAAACAGCTGGAGTTCTGAGTGGCATTTGAGGGTCCTGTGATAAATTAGATGTAAAGTCCAAAAAGACGTGGAGCAGGTGTAATGGAGCGTTTAAAAAAAGTCGGCGCGTTGCCGTCACGTCAGGCTTATGTCCGAGGTGTGGAAGGATTTATCTGGCGCTGTGACAATAAGCGAAGCGGCGTCAGACCGGGATATATGGCCCACTCGGGGGGCTGGACCATTCCGCTGTCGAGCGCAAATTCGGATATGTCGAACCTGTGTGTCAGTGATGTCGTAACAGAATATATTGGTTTGGCAACTAAGTAATTTCGGATTTCTTAAATGACATAAAATATTTTTTAACCTGGTATGAAGTTTCTCTCTATCTATAGTTATTATATAATCTATAATCTATATTCTATATTCTATATTCTAATACATAATAATCTCATATATAATCTATATTCGATAATCAATAGTTCTCCATTTATTACATGACCTTTTGCCATCTCTCTGATAACTTGAAAATTGCACGCTCGTGTAAAGTCTGTTCCTTTTCGGCCAAATACTGATTTAAGTGAGATTATACAGCGTTATCATCATTGAAAATCTTTACCACGAAGGGTTGAATGAAAGTTGTCCAGGGATCGTAATAATTGGTAATTCGATGGCGCGAAATAGGGACTATATTGTGGGCGTAACATGAACACCCAACAATTAACAATCATAAAGCAAAATATGGCTAATTACTCCAAACTATTGAGGCAAAATAAAACTTTAAGAAACTAGATGCGATATATATTATTAACCATTATGAATAAATAGCTCGCCCCGACTTCGTAGGACCCTGTTGATCCGATCGCTACCAAACTTCACTAAATCTGAAGATTGTCTAGAAATTTCATTAAATCGTTCCAGCCATTTCCGCTGTATTTAGGCGTCTTTGCACACACATCGATTTTTACACATAATATATGGATTTAAGGAAAAGATTATAATACTCACCAGAGCTATATAAACAAACACACAACGGCATAATTGTTTTAACCAGTTCTGAATAAAAGTTTTGTTTAAGTTTACCCATATTATGGATGTTGTTTCAGGTGCTTTAGTTTTTCTAAATTTTCAAAACATCCATTGTCCACAGCTTCAGATGATATTGAATAAGAATTCCCATTCCTATTGAATATTGAATTGTCGTATAAGATATTATAAGGGATTGAATTAAAAACGCTGTATCTCAATTTGCGTGACCGACAATTCGTTTGCAAGTCCGTTGCTGAATAGCTCCGCAAATCGCATTTAGCTGTCTGCGGATATATTTAGCGCTAAGTGCGCCTCGATATTAGTTTACCGAAAAAGCGATGTTGCCACAGGCGACGCTCGCCGGGATCGACGCACGCTGATATGCAGTTCCATGTGAAAAAAAAAACGGCCAAGTGCGAGTCGGTTTCGCGCACGAAGGGTTCCGTACCATTATATATAAAAACGGCCAAAAAATCATATCTGTTGTATGGGAGACCCATAATTTTTTTTTCTGTCTTTAAATATTTGTTGTTATAGCGGCAACAGAAATAAATCATATGTGAAAAATTCAACTGACTAACTATCACGGTTCATGAGATACTGCCTGGTGACAGACGGACAGACAGAGGAATTTTAGTGATAGGGTCTTGTTTTACCCTTTGGGGTATGGAAACCTTATTAACCCACATGGCTATTTCTACGTGGGATGTGTCTAGGCACACATACAAAGTTTCCATAGTTTAGAAAAATGTTTACTGTGGAACGGCCAAGGATGTTGGAAAAGGTTGGGGGAAGGGATGTTGTATATGTCCAGGAGCGGCAGTATTAACATCAGGTGAACCCCCTGTTCGCTTGACAACTTTTCTCATAAAAAATCTTTTCACAGTCCTTTGAAAAATATTATTGCAACTGTCCTCCATATTTCTTCGTTGTGCTTTTGGTTTCGTATTAATGTTACTTGTATTAAGTGTTATAAGTATTAACTATGGTCTACTTAAGAGCCGCGATAGCTCAGTGTCCGGGCGCTCGCCTTCAATTACATTTACTCGAGCAACCTGAGTTTGACCCCCTGTGCCAGTACCATTGAAATTGTTAATTTTAAGTTATTCTTCGAAAACATTTGAAGTCCGCCAACCCGCAGTGGGGTCGCGTGGTGAACTATGCCCTGCCTCTTTACGGAGGAGGCCTTTTCCCAGCAGTGGGACATTTATAGGCTGATTTTACTCTTTCTTATGGTCTACTTTATTTTTGTTGTGTATGTTTTATTGCATGTGACGAATTAACTTTCACCTGTCATTCAGATTATTTTAATTTGGTGTCGATGTTATATGAACAAAGACAAACTATCGGTACCTCATACAATGCTTACCCCGTAGGAATTATAACCATTGTATGTTTTATAATCATAAAATGTGAATTTTTGTAGGTAAATCAAAAAAATACTTTTCGCGCTGCGGAATTCGAACCTGTCTTCCGGGCTACTCGCCCAGACACAATTTGCCACAATAATCATTTGAACAGTAAATTGGTCCACGAAAACATTTGGTTCCTGCCTCGTTGTTAACTTATTAGGGGATCACTATTACCCTCTCATGCGTAAGAAGTGAATATGTTCCCGATATGTTTTGACGCAGAGATATCTTACATAACGCATTAATATTTTCCCATTTTCCATAACCCCCGTGACGCCATTCAGAGGTTCTTGACACAGGCTTTTTGGGAAATGTCCAAGGACAGTCGACGCCATTTCTTCTAGACGATTCTAGGGGTGTGACAAATGTCGAAGTTAAACTTTATCATATACTAGTTGATACCCGCAGCTTCGTCTTTTTTCCTTATTACCTTAACAGCTACAACGCTCGCCCGTCTCCTTCAAGGCAAAAATACTCCATACTCCAGAACATATAGTGCTTGTAAAAAAATATTTTTCTTGAAACTTTGTATTGAGTGCAGTTGAATACAAGACTAACTAAATTTCAGAGTTCTATATTTCTTTTAACTCACTAGGTACACTTAAATTTTAGTAATAAGGCTGCCCAGTGCAGCCATCACTTCTACATTAAGGTTTTGATTTTTGTTTGTGCTATTTTTGGTGTGCAATAAAGTATATTCATTCATTCGTTCATTCACTAGCTAGCGATGTGAAAGTACCTTCTCGATGATGAACATGGCGAAGTCAACGCGACGCACAATTTGTTTCCCTTTTGCACCAATTACCACGTGCCACCCCTAAACGAATCCGATTCTTTGATGTTTTCCGCGAAACTCCCGAGGGTGGCGGCTGGGCAGACGGCGCAATGTCTGAACATTGTCTCGGCGACTGCCAAAACAACATATATCAACGCTTACGCAATGTCGTTTACTAGATCAAATGTGCCACGTCTCCAGTTAGCGTGATTAGATTTTTTTTGGCAAATGAATGCTCCATTATGGACGCAACGTACAAGCAATATTTTTAACGCATTTCCCGCGAGTTTTTCCTCTTGGCAGGAGATTTCATCTTAGTTCTATATCTTCTATCGTCTCAATGCTCGGGGCTTAAAGTAGAAATGTAAATTACTTATTAAATTTGTATAACATTTTACAAGTTTGTATAACACTACAATTATTTGGAGAATATCTTTGCAAATGGATCCAATGCTCCATTATAGTTATCGAGTATTTCCATAATTGATGTTCCTATAAACTATGTTTCCTATAAGGTTGATAATCGTCAATACTAAATGACACCAGGGTACAAGAAAATATAAGGTAGTAGAATGAACTCTTGATGTACTGAGAACGTAGTAAGTAACCTCCAGGTACCAGGACACCAGAGAAGAGCGTCAATTTGACCGACGAGTACCAGGAGAACATATTAATATGATACTATTAATTACGGTTGCCGATGACGTCACCGCTGAGTACCTTCGCCCAGTTCTATGCGGAGTTTAATATTGCTGTTGATAGACGATGCTCGATCGTAAAACGTCCGAATATTGACTCCGCAAAACTCCATATAAGCTACGAGCGTCGTAACTGTCGTGCATTAATGCCATTCAATTTTAGATTTTATTTATCTGTTAATAATAAACCGGGCAAGTACAAGTCTGACTCGCGCACTTAGGGTTCCGTACCATTATCTATAAAAACGGATATAAATCATGTCTGTTGTATGGCGTTTAAATATTTTTTATTCTGTTTTTTAGTATTTGTTGTTATAGCGGCAAAAGAAATACATAATCGGCGTTAATTTCAACTTTTGAAGTTGAAATTTACGCAGAACCGTGGTCGGTTCATGCGATAGAGCCTGGTAACAGACGGACATACCGACAAACAGCGGAGTCTTAGTAATAGGGTCCCGTTTTACCCTTTTGGGTACGGAACCCTAAAATCATTGTAGTCCGTTGTGGCATCGCCAAATTGTACTAACGTTTTGTCATCGAGACAATACACTGTCATAAATTACATAGATATTTTTGAATTATTATTACGTTTTAATTGAATTACGTTTTAATTTAAACGTTTGAATTATTTTATTACGTTTAGCACAAAAAGGTGTATAACGCTACTTGCCTTAAAAGGTATTTACTTCACAGTGAAAATAATTATTGTAGCATAATATGAGCAATTTTAAAACCAAGCTATCGATGACTTTTAACTTTTTTCGACTTCCAAGTGTTGTTAAAAATCAAGAAATAAATCTATACGATTTGTTTTCGTTATTTTATTGGAACCACAAATAACATTTATCTGTGGTAGCGTCACACAACAGTGTTCTCTGTTGCACAAATGGACAGGTCCGTCCGGGTAAGTACCACGACCTCACATAAGACCGGCGTAAAGCGGAAATGTTGTACTTCTGCGTTTCGTCTGGTGAGTGAGGTAGCCGGGGCGCACTGTATTAAAAGGTGGCAACGTGTTGCAACCCTACGGTGTTGCAAATGTCCATAGGCTGCGATTATCACCTAACATTTGAGACAACACTTTCTCACTTAACAAAATTTCGGTGTTTTTTAAACTTTAACTGGCTACTCATAACTTTTCTTTTATAAACACTGCCCATACTGTAGAATTATGTTATCTTTTGGTGTAAAATGTTTTACATACACAAATTTCACGTGTAAAAACACTCAGATCCGAAACAATTATCTGTGTTCGTGGATCGAACCCACGACTCCTGGCACCGAAGCTAAATACATTGGCAACTGCGCCATGGAGTCATCATAAATTAAATTCATAATTAACTTAAATATTCCTAGGTTTTTATTACTAGTTAAAAGTCTATTCACTTGTAGGCTAAAATAATCGAGCAAATACTGATGAAGGTTGGATTTTCGGTCTTAATTCCCCCTTCACGACAGTTACCAGCTTAGTCTCGTTGCAAATTCAATTGTAATGCAATGTGTCACGCTATTTTAAAAAACATAACGATTCCATGTTTCCTCCGATACCAGACTTTATATTATTTACCACATCTATCCAAGTTCTGTTAGAATAATATTGTGAAAACGAAAAAGAAAACAAGTTTTCAAAATGTTCTACATTTCAGTATTAAACAAATTGGTACTTACTAAAAACTAGGATTTAAAAAACTTTTTATCCATTTCCTTACTTAATACCGTAGCACGTGTAATATTTGTTACTTACATTATTTTAGCGTAAACCATATTACTTATCAAAGTTCTTCCAAGACACTAATTTCTCCCATTAAATAAACATGACAACATGTTTAAAACTCTCACCGAAGGTGATCAAATTAATAATCGGTTCACGAGACCGTAACTTTAGGGGAAATTAAAGTGCTATTTAATGGTGAAGTGATAATCCGTTGAAACAAATAAATCAAGCGCCCTTCAGTTTTGAATGCAGACTACGCCCCAACCCTTTCAAATATTCCGCAGCGATGCAGAAATAATAACATTAATGGTTTTGCCTAACCGTAGATACTAAAAAATGTAAAAAAAAAGTTTAAAAAGGCTAGTACATCATCGCTCAGTGATTAGGACAAGTATCAGTACTATTTTGGCAAAGAGTATAACTATACGGCGATAGACACCTTTATTTTTACGAATTTAAAGAGAGCATACCCAAAAACGACCACAGACTATCTCCACCGCCTCATTCGCTTATTAAGTTTTTTTTCTTAGTCCACAAACAAAAGCTGCTGGCCTAAAAGAAAGAGGAGAGCGGGGGAAAAAAAACCTAGCGTATCTGCGCCCTCGCACATGGCCCGCGCTATTTAAATTTCGAATCGGATGCGAAAAAAAATCGTGCGCAATGTGTCCCGCGCACGCGCTCCGACATATGCTCGGGGCGCTTTGGAGGCGGAAAAAAAGTTTTTTCACCCATCAAACACCCTAAGCGGAGATAAGAGGTGGAAAAAAACTGTAACATAAGCATAATATTAGTAGACGGCAGTAAGTTAAATAAAAACTTATCACAAAAACTGCTCATTTCGAGGTTAAATACGTGTTTTCGGAGGCGCTTGCGCTGCCCCTAGGGCTGTCAAAAAACCGTACCTTGAAATAAATTGACACATGTCCCGGATCGTCCTATGTATATCATGGATTCGCTGATGCACCATTTATATATTACTGTCAATATGGTATAATATAATGAAAACCAAGACAGGCATACATTTGAACATGGTAAGACGTAGTTGAGACACCAGATACTTTACTAAGGCATTATTTCAGACATATTTCAATCATTCATTCAGAAAACTTATTTGTTTAAGTGTTGAATCTTTAGTTACGTGGTTCAAATTGTAATGCACTTTTATGAAGGATAAAATTTTGTACCTGCAAATATCGTATTGATATGTATCAAAATATTCGCTTAAATTAACTGATACAACCTCATGTAGATTCATAACCTTTACATGAATTGTGAATGAATTTTCATATCGTCATGGCTCGAAAGAATGGTAATTTCACTATATTAGGATAATGCACCGCCTATTGAAACTGAACTTTGAAAAAAAAGGGACCGCGTTTACCTCACTCAATACTTTCATTTCGCGAAACTAATACTTTCATTTCTCCAATCTTCTGCGGGGCCGTGGTACTTCCCCGGACGAGTTTGCCCATTCGTACAACAGTAAAAGCTGCTGCGTGGCCCTGCCACAAAATCTTCGGAGACTGCCGGTATATAATGATATTATGCAAATACGTGACTTGTGGCAGCCCTGCTAGTCGCGGCGCACGCACGACATCTGTCGCGATGAATCTCGCGACTGCCACAAGTTTTTTTTTATTGCATTATTACATAACGTTAAACTTGAACATCGGCTTTTACTCAACACAATAAAGCGTCCTCTTTTAACCGCCTTCGAATACAGCTAACGTTTTATTAGTCCACTTTTTATAACAGGAAAAATAACTTGGTCTTCTAAAATTATAGGAGAAAAGTATCTGCTTGAAAGATCAGTTTCAAGCTGTTTCCGAGTCAGCTAAGCCGACGTGTGGTGCATTGGGGAAATGTTACCGAAACGTCTTGTTTGCATTGTGTTGCCAACATTACGATGTTATGATAGTTCATGAACTGCAGAATTACTGTGCTGGCGGCATTGGCGAAAACTTTTCTTTAAAATTTATGCATTTATAACATCATATTCTTATATACGTTGTTACAATCTTACATATCTCGTTATTTAAAACAGTGAAATAATGATTTATTTAATGTACACAAAACACAGGATACAAAAAAGATAAAAAATGTAAAAATATGTACAAAAGGTAAGTTTACTCAATACATGAGTTCTCTGCCAGCAAACCTGATGAGAAAAATATTTGATTGCAGCTACCTGGAAATGTGAGTTTTAATGAACAATTATTACCTAGTCATAATACCGGATTTGATAAACCACAAACTAGTAAAGGAATTATAATGATTAAACATTAATTTTCGTAAAGATTTTTGTATCCTACTTATTAATAAAACTAAATTCCAAGCAATCCTTAACTGAAAAATATCAATTTAAATTGTTTTATAGTGCTAATCTTTGCACTTAAGATTGAACATTAAAATATGTAGAAAAAGTGCGGAAAAGATTGTCGCCGCTGTGGCAATCGAATCGAATTTTTCTACATATTTTAATGTTCAATCTTAAGTGCAAAGATTAGCACTATAAAACAATTTAAATTTCTAAAAAAGCAATGGCGACATCTCTCGTTCGAATTATCGTTGTAAAACGATATTCGAAGTTGTTTGTATGCTGGAAAGGATACAACAATAGATGGCGCCAAGCATTGCTTCAAATGCTAAGAAAACAATGTGGAAGAATGCGTTAAGATTTTCGTCAGTGTGGTAATCAGCCGTTTAGCTC